CTAAGTGGGCTTTCTTTTCTTGGTAGGCATTTTTCTAAAATTAATGGGGTGGGAGGGGGACATGATTATTGACAAAAGAGGAGTCATCAGGAATAAAAAGTGAAAATGTCAGGCTGTTCGATAAAAATGGCTCTTAAGAGAATTTCTAGGGCTCAAAACTAGCAGCGAGGGGACCAGAAAGATAGTACAGCAAGGAGGGTGCTTGCCTTGCATGCAACTGACTTGAGGTCAATCCCTGACATCCCATATGGTCCTCTGAGCACCGCCAAGGGTAATTCCTGAGCACAGAGACAGGAGTAGCCCCTGAACATCACCAGGAAGGTGACCCCCCCAAAAAACCCTGGTAGCCATAAGTCAGATTCAGTTATAAAATTAGTTTGATTTAGCTGGCTCTTTTAAAAGAATAATGAAAGTATATTGTAATATGTTTACAGTGTTGACATACATAGTTTTAATGGACAGTTACTGCACCTCACCACCATCCAAATGTCCAAGATTCCCTGCCATTGGCCTCATGCTCTTTCTAGTTCTCCTTTTTCTCACCATTTCCCACTGCTCAGGAGCCTTGGTTTTATCATCTAAGACTTTGTCATCATTTGATACTGTCTTTCCATTGTTTTGTTTCTCTATGGGACACAGATGAGTGAGCTCATCTGATCTTTGTCCTCCCTCAGACATATTTCACTTAACACAACATCTGCAATTCCATCCAAGTCTCAGTCAAATCACAAGCCTTGCTCTTTTTTCATAGCTGCATAGTATTCTACCATGGCACTGTGCTTTGAAAAAAAGCTAATTTGCCCACAAGATGTTTTATGTTTGGCTTAAAATTGGAGAGGTACTGGGTTAAACCTAGCTCACATTTCTCTCAGGGTAAAAGAACACAAGCCGAGTAGCCATGATCCCTAGATAGAACTTGTACACTCCAGCTTGCCACAAACACCACCATTCCCTACTGTCCCCACATGAATACCACCCTCTGCTCTCCTGCAAGGCTACCCACCACAGCCTCCTGCAGAATGGAACGAAGAGAGCTGCAGACATTCTGCCTTCCCACCCGATGCCGTTGCCTGGTCCACGGGGACAATTGGATCTGCTCCTCCCTCATCTCCACCGAAACTCTCATTTTTTAGGGTCAGGTAAACCAAGAGCCAGAGGCAGGAGACAGCACACACCCTTCCCATCACTGTCAGTGTCAAGAGATGTGATGGACAGCCAGGTTGCTTTGTTTCTCAGGCCCATCATCCTTCCTCTCCTTGACTGCATCCGTTCGAGGGGCTCTTCAGCTCTCTGGAGGTTTCCTTAATGAGAGTGTCACATATTGAACCAGGGCTCATTCAAATTCACATGCTGCCATTGAAAACACGCGGCAGGTTGGGCCCGCCTTTGTGACTGCCTCGCTCGCTCTCCACATAATGAGTCAGGCCCGCGTTCTGGTTTCACAGTGTGGGTGTCTCTACATAGGTCGATTGTTTTTTCATTCAAAGCGTGTCCTTTGTTGCCTGTGAGTTCGTGTCTGTCTGGTGGCTCTGGCACCCCTGCAGACAATGCACAGGCACGCGGAGAGGCTGGGAGCTGAGCCTCTCTGCATGGAAAAATCCATGTGTCTGGACGTTGTCACCGGCTAATGTCTGTCCTGGTAGCAACCTGTTTACTGGAGCATGAATCAATGTTCTCCAGCAAACGCTCTGGGAAGCAGCCTGGGTTAGGTGAGGAAGAAGCTCCGAATTGAGCTCTGTGACCTTGGCCATGTTATATAATGTCCCCAAACCTCAGCTTCCTCATCTGTAAAATGAGAGTGATCAGGATTGAACTTCTGGGGAATATGGGAGAAGTTGATGTTTTTCAAAATTCAAACCAGTCCTAGCCTTCAGAAGTGCTAAATATAAATGACATTCTGGCGAGTTATTGAAGTGAAATGAAAACTGGAAATATCCATTCTCTCACTTGAGGGATGGGATCCTTCTTAACACACGTAATCACTACCAGCCCTCTTGGAGAGACTCAATATAGATTAGGCATGAAATTAGGCATGAAGGCTTTTGCTTCATAATTGCTTGTAGGACTGTTGGAAAATTCAGATCCTAGTGATCCATTGCAGACTTCAGGAGGCACAGAATTCCATTGTGGAATTTGATAATCTAGTTTTAGAGGGGAATCAATGCTTAGGGGAGCCTACAGTAACAGGGATCAAACCTGGGCTTCCACATTAAAGATTTGTGCTCCAGCCCTTTGAGCCTTCTCCCTCTGTTCAGAACATCTACTTTCCAAAGCTCCCCATGAGATTCTGGTGACTAGTCACATCACTTGGAAACAGCTGATAGTGCTTTCTTATTTTTTAATATCTTGACTGACAGGGGACTCAGAACTTCCCCAAACTTCCCAGTCCACCTCAGATAGAATAGGTTATATGTATTTACAGAATTTTACATATATATGTGAAAGCTTTGTTTCTCTAGCTCCTACTTATCGCCCCTCCAGGCTACCCAGCACATATCAAGTCCCTTTGCCATGTGATAATCCTTTGGATTTTTACAGGCAACTGTCATATCCTTAGCTCTCCCAAACACCCTCTTCTTTGGGGTTAAATATTCTCTTGTGAATCTTAGAAAAGTATGGTTGACTTCATGCTTTAAATTTGATAGCTAGCAAAGGGAGATACACAGATCAACCGTGAGTCTTCGATCAGGACAAAGAGGTTGCTGACCCTTTGGGACAATCGAGAGACAGTGTCTGTTCCAGAGGATAGAGCCCCCTGCGACACGGTTTTTCTCCAGGCCATGACCAGAGGTACCTGAAAATGCCTTGAGCACTTGATGCATGCAGTACATGAAGAAGAATCTTAGCTCATATTACAGCAGTGTCCCTCTAGGTGCTGGGCATATGGCTGCATACAGAACTAAGAATTCATTGTGATTCTTCAAAGTTTGCACACCTCCCTACATTCCACGCTTCCAAAATATTTTAAAAATTGATGATGGAATATATTTTCTCAAAAGAACTAAGCCAAACAAGAATATCTCTTAGATGCACTTCATTCCTTCTTGATTAAAATTCTCACTCCTCTCACCAAGCCCACAGAATGCCTGGGTGGGGTAACAATTCCTTGTACAAACTGTAGGTGTAGGAAGGACATGTTGTTGGGGAGAAGAGAAACCATCAGTCGAGAAATCCTCAGCATTCAGGAAATTGGGGTTTTAAGAGGAAAGAGCCAAAATTGGTGTTTAACTGGGCATGCCAAGGTTTAGTTACCAGGAGAATTGAACCTAACCGAAACATGGTTATCAGACCTGGGTAGGGACCTTATAGATTTTTAAGCCATCCTTAGAAGCATGCAGACATCCACACGCCTGCCAAATCCCAGCCTTACAAACTCTAACTCAATTCCTTGTCAACACAGGGAAAGGGAATTGTGGTATTTCCCTCAGGCAAATAATTTCACCATGATTACAAGCATTAGCTTTCTGGTCAACGTGTAGGAAAGTTTTATTTCAGTTTTTCCATCAGTCCACTGGATCAATAAGAGCATTCTGGTAACACTCATTCTTAATCACTTATTCTACAATAACCATTTCCCAGATTAATGAGCTGGGAAATGAGGGTTGGAATGGGCAGATGTCTTAGCCAAGGTCACACATTTTACAGCACAATCCAGGTCTTCTGACTTCGAATACCCTGATCATTGTGGTATCTCAAGGAACCCTTCCCCACCTGGGCTTCCCACCAGTTGCAAATTTGTGTTAAGAATGGGACCAACTCTAGTAGTGTTACATTCAGGAAAATGTTTCTCAGGGGGTGTCAGGACAAGGGAAGAAGGCCAGGAATGATGCAACATCACACTAACAAGTGATGTCATAGCATGATTTCCTGAGTGACTTACAGAAATGCAAGATCTCCAGAAGCTCTGGCAAATGCTAGTCAGTGGGAATGCAGGCACGAAGAACCAATGGCAAGCAGGCATGGGGAGTATGTAGGAAATCTAGATATCCTTGCTGAGCCTTGGAGCAAGCTTCATGCTTTCTCAGAAGCCAAGCAAAGCCCCTTAATGACCCTCAAAACTAAGGCCTTCCTTCAGGCAGCCAGACTTCCCAGGTTTTTGCTTTTCTTCCCCCTTTTCCTGTTTACTCCCATTGACTGACACACAGGCATTGTCCAGTGATGCAGAGAGTGACTCCCGGTGTAGTAAAAGCAAGTTTAACAGCGAGACAGGCTACCTCGGAGTTTTTCCATTCTAAAATTGGTCTGACTTCCGCATTAGAATTCAGATCAATGCCTCAATTTGAAAACAAAATAGAAGCAAGAAGCTGCATGTCTTGGAGACTCAAACTCAAGTAAATGTCACGGAAATCTCTCTGTTGGATTTGGAGGGATGATTTAGGAATGGAAGTAAGGTGGCTAGCAATGTACCAAGATCCCATTTCAGTTTTGATTCAAAATAGGGAAATGGATATTAATGAAGTTTTCTTTAGAAATGTGTGTATGCATGAGTCTTGTGTGTTAACCTGTAACTGGATGGTATTAGCAGATCATGAAAACATGAAGACGTTGACAAGATTATGTCGGGAAATAACAAAACAGCTCAGAATATGCTGGATGACGCCAGGGTCTTCTCTCCCTACCCACATTCCCCTCCTTGATGCATAATTTCAGCAGAGCCAAAGACCCCATTTCAAGCCTGAGACCCAAGGAGTCCCCAATATGCCTCTGGGATTTTTGATTCAAAGACTTGTCTCAGCTGCAGAAAGCTGCCCAGAGTACCATCAGATGTCACCTCTTGGAGCTTGTTCCCCCAAACAATCAACAGAACCCAACCCCTTCATCCCACACAGCGTCAGTCTTGCCGGCAATGGTCTGGACACCTGCGCATTCTCCGCGATAATCAGAGCGGTTCCTCTTTCCCAACCCCTGCCCCCCTCTCCCCCAAACACCCACCGGCAGAGCCAAAGCACAGAAACCGGGATTATCTGGGGGGAAAGAGAGAGAGAGGAATTTGCAAATACCTTCTAGGCAGCAGGTCCTCCACAGCCCAGAGTGGGTCATTACTTCTTCGTTCTTCCTGCTGGTCTCATTATCACTTGTAGATTTAGTCCTGCACACACCTCTGGAATATAACCAGTAGTCCGTGCCCACTGCGATAGTCATTAAACTAAACGCTGCAAAGGCTCCCACGGTGGTGATCAACATCTGGATACCTCTGTCACACATCCTCATAGTTCTTCATGGTACTCTGGATGGATGGGGGTGGGGGGGAGGTTCAATGCCAGAGGGGGAAAATCACTCTGCGGCGGTGTGACCTAGGATAGCTCTTGCCCCAAAGCGGGTCTTCTTTTGTCCGCGGCATCCACGGGGAGCTGGGGACGGCTGGGCTTTCCTGTCTGGATCTCTCTCCAGGTCCCCGAGTCGCCTAGGGCCCTCGGAAGGGTGCCGGCTCCAGGGGGTTGGTCCACATCACTGCTGCCTTCTGGGGGTTCCTGGGTTCCTTTCATTCCTCAGGAGCTTGGTCAGAAGGAGGGTCCGTGCAGGGCATGGCTCCGGGAGCCTGGAGCTGCTGGCTCCTCGCAGCCCCGGGAGACTCGAGGCAAAGAAATTCAGAGCGCGCTCTCTCTCTCTCTCTCTCTCTCTCTCTCTCTCTCTCTCTCTCTCTCTCTCTCTTCTCTCTCTCTCTCTCGGTGTATGTGTGTGCGCGCGCGCGCGCGCCAGCGCGTGTGCTGGGGGTGAGGGCGGATGGTAAAAAATAGCACTGCTGGGAGGCGAGTGGCTGCGAAGAGTGTTCACTGCTTCCCCAGCCTCCCAGGAAAGCTCTCCGCCTGCTCCCCACACCCCCGCTCAAACTGGAGAAAAGGCAGCGTCCTGGGGCGGGGGCTCCTCCGGGCCGGGGCCGCGGTGCTGAAGGGACAGCTCCCTCCGGGCGCCGCCTCCCCGCCCCACGCCCGGGCTGCTGCGGGCGCCGCGGCTGCTGTCGGTGCTGTTGGGGCCGGGGGTGCCGGCGCTGCGGGACGGCCGTGGTGCTGAAGTGGACAGCGCCCCTCGCCGCGGCTCTCCCCGCCGCCCGTCTAGCTGCAGGACCGGGGGCCCGCGGCTGCCGGCGGCAGAGGAGCTGCGCCCCGCTCCTTCCACTGCCCTACCAGGCCCCCGCTCCGCGCAAAGTTTGGGGAGCCCCGGGGTCGTGGGCGCCCCCCGCGCCCGGGCGCTGCAGCTCCGGCCGCTCCTCTGCCGCGGGAAGGGTTAAGGACCAGGGGCAGGGGGAGAGGCGCCCGCAGCGCACTCAGGCGCGCTCTCGCTCTCGGCTCCCACCAGCGCCGCGACGCTCCCCGCCCCAGCGAGCCAGGCAAGTTTTTCTTTTTTTTTCTTTTTTTCCTTCTGCGGGCGCCTCCGGACCCACTGGGGGAAGATTCAGTCTTCTTAAAGGGGCCGGCCACCCCAGGCGCTGACTCCATAGCTCCGTGGCTCACTTGGGTGGGCTGACACCAGGCACATCTGTTGAAGGGGCCGGCTTCATGTCTGGCTCCCCACCCCCCCCCCCCCCCGCGCCCCGCGGAGACTATCCAATATGCCCATCTTCCTTTCTCTGGAGCACCAGTTGAAACGGGTGACCGTTCAGACACAGAGGGTCACGTATTCCTGAAAGACCCAAGGAGCTCAGCACACACAACTTCACTCACGTATCAGGGATTTGGAGGGAGCCAGGAGAGGATGGAGGCTCTGGGTGGTCCTCTTTTATATTTGATATCTCTGCACTTGGGAGGGGGTGATTCAAGGCCAGAAATCACTGAAAATGGGATTCTTTCCAAAGTTTCTTGGCGTGTTCATTTGATAACATATCTAAGGCCAGGAAATCCAGGGATGTTTTCCTAAGACCCGGGCAACAAATGTCATTCTGGAAACTAGCGTGACTCCTTCAGGAAGTGTCACTATTGCAATGGATTTGTCTTTTACAAGCCTTTTCTCACTAGACTTAAGCACCCGCTGGATTGATGAAGAACAGTTCACCAAACGCCTTCATCACTTCACTTATGGCATGATGGGACCCATTGGAGGAGGAGGAGGAGGAGGAGGAGGAGGAGGAGGAGGAGGAGGAGGAGAGTGTTTGGAATTGAGACTGTTCCAACTGCTTCTGCATTTCCTGGAATGGATTCATTACTAAATAGTGTTGTGTTTGAGTGTGAGTGAATTGGACAACAATATAACAGGCAGACACACAGCTTCTTGGTGCTGTCTCCGGCTACTTGGGTTTCCATACAGATGACCACAAATCAGTGATGTGTCCATGATGCCTCAAATACAATCCGCCAATTCTGAGTGACTCTGCTACATTTACATCAGTGTTCTGGGCCTGTTGAGATGTGGCGTTAGAGTTTCCTATACATGCCTGCACCTGCCTGGGTTTTAGTGCACAGTCCCGGTTTAATTGGGTTTGAATGTTTACTTCTGCTGTGCTTAATTTAGTTAAGCCTTTTAAATGCCTGAGGGTTTGTTGTACCAGTAAAACAGGTATGTAAATATATGCCCGCACCTACAGGCAGTGTTGTGGACCATTGAGATATGTTTGCTGCCAACACATAGCTCTATGTGTGTGTGTGTGCGCAGGTGGGTACACAGGCCTGTACATAGGTAAATGGAGGTTGGTACATCTCAATACATCTAATTGCATAAGCATGCATCGTGACTCATAAACACTTGATTTGTAGGCAGGAAGCAGAAATATGACAAATTGGCTACATAGCCAAACTGGGACAGATAACCACAAGGCCAGGACCTACTGCCAGCACGGCAGTTAGCCCTGCTCCAGGAGAGTGGCCACGGGAGAGAGGATGCAAGATTTTCTACAAGGTGCTAAGTGAGTTCTTTCTCTATAGGAGCAAAATTTGCTCTTCCACAAAAATCTCCTGCCTTGCATTTCTTTGTATTCTTATTTTATGTTTTGGTTTGGGGCCACACTTGGTGGTGCTCAGGGCTTACTCTTGGAGGGTCTTTGGGAGTAAAACTGGGACTGGCTAGGTGCAACGGAAGTGCTTCACCAGCTGTGCTATCTCTGCACTCTGATTTGTACTCTCCAGCCCTGACTCTTCTCCAAGGAAAAAGCCGTAAGTGGAAGTGTGGTTGGTCTCCCTCGGCAAGGGGGTTATAAAATCATAGGCGTTTTTTCTTCCCCTTATTTTAGAAACAAATAACACGACATAACAACAACAGAAAGGCTCAGATATCTTCTACGACCCCTTCTTTCCTCTAGTAGGGGTGGGGAGGCCCTCGAGAGAGAGTTGGCGCCAATCATTTCCACCAGGGACCCCCTGCTCAAACAGAAGGCGTGACCTCCTGCTCCACCACACAAGCCCAGGGAGCATGTGTGGGACCCAGAGGCTCCTACGGACAGAAGTGTCCAGAGAGAGTGGGAGGATAAAAGTGGTAACCCCAGGGGCAGGTTGTGGATGCTTTTTCCTAATGGCGCCAGAGTGACCCGGAACCATGGTGCTTCAGTCTGACCCTCCGACTTGGTGAGGCAGGATCTCACGCTTCGCAGGGCTGAGGAGCTGATGCCGGAAGGAGTGTGGGCAGGTCTGAACCTGCCCTTGCAGCAACCGGAACACCTGAGCGGAGTGGGCGTGCAGAGGCAGGGAGGACCGCAGCTAGTTCCTGATGCCGCAGCCTCCCGCTTACTAGGGGGGATCCTCATCCTTTCATTCAATGCCATGTGTAGGTGTGCGCTCAGGGGTGTGGCCACCGACTGCTAAGCCTAGCTGTAATTGCCACTTGTCACCACGAAGGGGCGCAGGCGCCAGCCCGAGCAGAGGGCACCCTTGGCTCACAGGCTGAGTCAGAGTCTTCCTCTGCCCCAGCGGGACCCTCCCAGATGCCACGGCGAGGAGGCAGGAGATGGAGGCACCCCCAGCAGCTTGAACGTGACCTTTGATCTTCTTACTCTTTCTCCCCCCCCCCGCTCCCCTCCCCCCGCTGCGTGGGATTCGCTCTGCCAGCCAGAGTAGCTGTGATCTATCCCTTCACCCTCTCACAGATGAGCAGCCTCTTGCCAATCTGGGATGCAGCGCCACCTGCAAGGAGCCATGTCCCTCTCGAGTGAAATGCAAAATCTTCACACACTTTCCTCTAAGAGACAGTGTTTTGGGGATCATTTTTAGCGGATTAATCATAAGTGATAGCACAGCGGTAGTGCATTTGCCTTGCTCGCAGCCAGCCCGGCGGAGCCGGGTTCGATTCCTCCACCCCTCTCAGAGAGCCTGGCAAGCTACGGAGAGTATTCAATATGCCAAACACAGTAGCAATAAGTCTCACAATGGAGACGTTCCTGGGACCGCTCGGGAGGACAGTGACAGTGTATTCATAACAAGCAATACAAAATACTTTACTTGGGTTCTGCTTTGGGGGCAGGGTTTGGGTTTCAGGATGAAAACACTGGAAATATGGTGGTGGGAAGGTGTCGTGGTGGGATTAGTGTTCGAGTACTAAAAGTAGTCAAATATGTGAACAACTTTATACAAATAAAATTGTTAAGAAAGGAAAAAGATTTAATACCATGAAAGAAAAAAAAGGAAAGTGTCCATGTTCCTTTGTAAGGAGAGTGACAGTGTACTCAGTGCTTCTGGAGTGCCTCCTAGGGACAAGGCATTCTACAGAGCACTCTGGAGAATAGAAGACAGGGCTTCTCCGCCCCACCCCCATGTCCCCTTCCCCTCCCTGCTTCCGAGGAGCCCACTACGTGTGAGGGACTATTCTATTTATGAGCCTGTCTTTTTGCTGTACCTAGCAGAAACTCACTGGAGCTAGTGTAAGATGTTGTCTGGTTTGGTGTAGGAGTATGGGGGTGCAGTGGGGGGAACTTGAGGTCAACATTGCAATCAGACCTCAGCAGGGAGCTGAAAGCAGGACACAAAAGCCATCACCAAACCTTAACCTCCACCCCTTTTTCTCATTTCCGCTCCTTTTCATGTTTTTTTGTTGAGGGAGGTCTCCAAAACAGTGCTCAGTAGATCTGGGGCCCCCTCCCCACACTTGTCCATCAACGGGGTGGTAGGGGATGTGGCGTTTCCTTGGGTCTTGTGGTGCTAGGGATGACCTGGGCCAGCCCCTTGGTGCCTGGGGGGACTGGCATTCAGTGATGCTGAGTGATGTGATATGAGGGATTGAAGGAGAGTTGGCAACATGCAAGGCATACTCCTTAACCCTGTATGGTCTCTCTGGTCCCCTTTATGTTGTTAATTGAAAAGAATTATTCTTTCTTAACTACATTTAGACTTTCAAGAGGGATGCTAGGGTTTCCCCCCAGCTGGCATTGGGGATCAAACCCAAGTCTCACACATGCAAGGCAAGGGCTTAACCATTGAAGCACATCTTCAGCTTGGAAGCTCACTCCTGGGTTTTCAATTCAATTTCTATCGAAGATATTCACTGGATGAACCCGAGCAGCTTTAGGACCAACTGTGAATTTCCAGGACACAAACTGATCGAATCGCCTGTATTGTCACATTCACCACGGTCATGGACACAGGGTCCTGTAGGAGAAACCTGGCCATGGGGGACAGGCTGTGAGAGTCGGGGGAGGGAGGAGGAATTTCTGTGACATTTCAATAGAATACTATGAAAGTCCTTGTGACTCACATTTGTGGTCCCTCCTTATCGGCCTCGGAGTGCAGCAGT